TTGGCCTAATATGCTAATGTGTTTCTGCTGTTGGGCGTGGCCTATTATGCTAATGAGTTCCTGCTGGGCTTTTTCTACCAAAAAAGCCCTGCTCGAGATAATTACAGGGGTGAACTTGAGTGTAGTATAGAATGTAAGTTCGGGGACAGGGTTGAACCAGGATTTAAGGTCTAGTGCGGAATCACTCCAAAAGAGTGACTGGCTACCTAGTACACTCCCATGCAGAGCAGGGATTCGAAACCGGGTCTCCCAGGTTCTAGTCCAATGCTCTAACCACCACACCATGCTGGTACTTAGGGTAGAATGGCTTCCATCCTCTAGGCCGCCATGCTCAGAAACCCCTAGGTTTGCCGAGCCCCATTTGGGAAATAGAATTTTTTTGGGGGGGGTGGAGCCTAGGAAGGGCAGGGTTTGGGGAGGGACCTCACTGGGGCATAACACCATAGAGAGTCCGTCCACCCTCCAAAGCAGCCATTTTCTCCAGGGGAACTGATCTCTGTCGTCTGGAGACCTGTCGTAATCCCAGGAGCGCTCCAGCCCCCCACCTGGGGGTTGGCAACCCGAGACAACCCTCGCCCCGGCTTAACTGGAGTCAGAGTTTAAACCCGGAATCACTATTGCCAGAGGTGCTTTTTTGTGCCAAGCATGCAACGGTGTATTAGAGGCTGAACGATCCGTGCTTGGTGACAAGACGAGTTGATTGTTCTTTGTTCCAAGCAGCCGAGACACAAAGCACACCCACCTCTACGGGTGGAACCAATCTGGCACTCTGCAGAGCTGTCTTAATGTGGATTTTTCCAGTTTGGGGGGGGGAGCAGGACCGACACTGCTGTGAACCTGGTACCACCCGTTGGCTTGCTTCTCCACACTCAGAGCGCGTCTTCAATCCCTGCCTTTGTCAATCCACTTACTGGACCTTTTGTTCTTACCTCCAGATGCATCCGACCTCAAATGTAAAGGCTACCTTGAACTGCTTAGGGGAGGAATGAAATAGTACGAACACATTTGCGTGGGGCTATCTCTTGCTGAAGAACGAGAAACCGATTGGGAAGCTCTGTATTCCTCTGACACATCATACAGTTTCTCAAGGCTTTGTTTCCTTAGAACCAGAAGAGCTAGAAGCACAAGTTGCAAAGAATTAAGTTCCGTTCTTGGGATCCCATGTCAGCCAGCAGACTGGGCAACAGAGGACATGTTCCCCACTTCCCAGTTCAACAGCTCTGAGATTCCGAGTCTGACCCCCGTAGTATATTTGTGTGTTTGAAGGACAAATACACATCTCCAAAGTGCTGGTTCTTACCTTTAAGGCCCCTAATTGGTTGCAGACGAGGGCGTCTGGAAGACTGCCTGCTCCCACACAATCCTGCCCAGTCGTTAGAAGCGCTGTTCTTTGGGAAGCTAGAACAGGGCCTTCTCTGTGGTGGCCCCTCATTTGTGCATCATTCTCCCTGCCGCACAGCCACCCAGCACTTATATCTGCTGGTGTGTGTTGTGAAAACATTTTATTTCCCCCGGGCTTTCAACAGGCCCTAATAATAGTTTTTGCCGCTTTCCATTGATGCTTTTGGCTCAGCACCAGTTTAGTTGGTTGATGTTGCTAGTGATTCTGCTGGTTCTGACTTTGAATTCGTTTGTTTTCTGGCTGCGGGTGCATTTTAAGCTTGTTTATAAGAGCCAAACTACGGTTTACACAGAGCTGTTTTGGCACCTGAAAAGTTGCAGGGTGGGGGGGGGGGGGGGGGGGGGAGACGAGATCACCTGGTGCCTCTGCAGCATGGGCCTGCCCAGGACCGGGCCCACACAAAAGGTTTTTAAATGGCTAAATTTTCCTCTAAAATGGCATGGCTGGTCATAGGTTGAACCCGGAACCGCTGTACTGTGTCGTTTGGCCCTCAGCCATCTCAAGAAGCCCGATTGTCAGAAGACAGAAACTAGAGGCCAAAAGACCCACAACACTGGAAACCCAACTTGTTGCTTGTCATCCTCAGCAACAGGAGATGATACAGAGTTGGGGACAATACAGATCAGGCTGTGGCACAGGGAAGGTGTGTGTGCGGGGCAGTCACCTCTTATCCCTGGCCTGTTTCTCTGATTCAAACTGCCCTGGACTGCTTTTAGCTGTGGAGTCTTGTGAGCAAACATTCTACTTTGTGAGCCACTGGCGTTAAAGGTGTGAGCGAGTGATTTCGCTACTGCATACATTAGTTTGCTCTGGAGCCAGTGCCGGATTTATGCATAAGCTAAATAAGCTACAGTTTAGGGCCTCGCAATCTGCTGGGGCCTCAAATAAAAACACAATATAAAAATGATTTCAAATATTAAAAAGGTGTATATATTAAATTTTTCTGAGACCAGCTGATGTAATTTAAAACAGTAGGGGGCCTCTGGGTTTTGTATAGCTTAGGGACTCAGCAAGTCTAAATCCGGCCCTGTCTGGAGCCATCCTTCCTGAGCGAAAACAAAAATGTGTGAGCCAGAGGATAAAAAACTGTGAGCTAGCTCACACTAACTCAGCTTAGAGGGATGATAATCAGGCAAATTAGGTTTTAGAAGGGGCAGTTAACCCCCCCAACCCTTACCCCACAGCTATTTTTCAGTGAGAAACCCAGCCCCACACATACAACACTTTGGGAGATTCAATCACAGAATTTTGATCTTCATGTACATCACGCTACATGCACTGTGCCTGGTTACCGACACCGCAGCATACCTTTATCCGACTTGAGAATCCACCCCCAGTGACTGCCTGGCTGTCAAGGCTGCTCATGCTTGCCCCCCCCCCCAAAGAACCACCCTAGGGAGGGTTGGAAACATCTTTATGGATTTTATTAAAATAGGAAACTCAGACCAGACCCCAAAATGCCAAGGGAAATCAACAGACCTTTTTAGAGGCCGGAAGTGCAGTCCCCGCCAAACCCCGCAGTCCCACCCCCAGATTATTACAAATTAAAAAATACCTCCAAGCCCCTCTGTCTCTGGGGGGCACACCGGCCATGCCTGCCATCCCATAGTAATAATACTAGTCATAAAAAATTCCCCCGAACCCTGTGCGCCTGGCATCCCCGCGTGCTCCAAAGGGGTGGGGGAGACCCTGGCACCACCAAGACCTTCCGTCTCTTTATTTAATTTATTTATTTTGTATATCCCGTTTGGATGAAAATAGAATTTTGACGGAAAGCGGCTCAAAATAAGACTTTTTTTTTTTACCCCCTCTCTCCCTTTTCGCCTGGGTTTCTTTTTCTTCCTACAGTTCATTCCCGTAACGCCCAAAGAAAAACAAATCCGGTGATCCTTCCTTCCTTATTTGTTCCGTTCTGTTGTTTTTCTTCTTCTTCTTCTCTCTCTTTCTTTTCTTTTCTTTAAAGTAATACAGCAGGTAGTTGGATACAGAAACAGCCCCATCTGTATAAAAAAAGTCTCCAATGTAAAGGGAGAACGGTAGAAAAAAAAAGGGGAGGGGAGAGAAAAAGAAAGAAGGTCAAGGTGAGGGTGAGAATAGTACCTTGTTCTGCAACCGAGAAAAAAAAAGAGAGAGAGAACATAAAAGGCTAAGTTGGTGAGAACCGGTGTCCGCTGGGGCGGGGGACTTAGCATCCAACATCTGCCACGGCGGTGGAAAGACCTGTGTGTTTTTTATTTGGTGGGGAGGAGGAGTCGTCCCTCAGCATCCCCCCCCCCACTACATGTACGAATACACTGCCACCCTCCCGCCACGCAACTATCCCCCATCGCCTGGGTCTGCTGGCCGTCATATTTGTGTCTCTTGGACGTTCTCTTTAGAGCTGCTCTTGAACAAGAGAGGTTCATGGATGGAATTGAGCATGGGGTTCTTGGAGCCACAGGTCAGGGGTCCGCCGCCACTGTTGTTATTGTAGTGCGCCTTGAAAGCAGCGTAGTGGTTGAGGTGATCGTGCTCGATGGCGGGGAGCGACAGGTGGCTGTCGCCGGGGCCCCCGGCTGCGGCGGGCAGCTCGTCTTCGACGTTGATTATCTCGATGGTGCGGGTGGGCCCATGGTGCTTGTGGAGCTGGTGCTGCTTGCGGAGCTTGTAGAAGACGATGAGCATGACGGCGGCCATGAAGGTGATGGCCACGAAGCAGCCGATGATGATCTTGGTGGTCTTCATGACGTCGTCCAGGTCCTTCATGCCACTCTCCGTCACATCGGTGATCGGGATGGTGAACGGCTTCTCGGTGCTGCGGGTGCTGCGGGGCGTCAGCGAGGTGGTGGAGTAAGTCATGCCCCAGCCTTGGGACGGCGTCGGACCGGGATCCTTCTTAGCAGGGGTGGCCTCGTCTTGGCCTGAGTCCATGGTCTCCACAGTCACCGTAGTGAAGTAGGTGTAACCTGTGGTGGCTGGATCTACAGCCGAGACGTTGAGCGTGGCCGAAGCCGTGGTGTTCCCTGCTGAATTGGTCACCATGCAGGTGTACTGCCCTGTGTCTTGGACCGTCACGTTGGTGAAGTTGAGTGTGCCATCATGAAGGACTGAGATGCGCACTCGGTAAGAACCGTGTGTCATCAGCGTTCCATTGGGCGTCAGCCAGTTGACTGAAGTCATGGAAGTCCCCGTCCGGCATTTCAGCTCGGCCGCCATCCCCTCTGTTACGTTAAGGTCAGTGGGAGGCTCTACTATAACGGGGGCATAGCAGGTGAAATGGCTTTGATCCAACTCTCCGATATACCGCCCTTTGAGGTTTGGCGGCGCATGGCAGCGGGCGCAGCAAGTGGTGTTGTTGGGCACGGTCTCTTTGAGCCACCAGCTGAGCCACAAGACGTCACAGTTGCAGTGCCAAGGGTTGTGGTTGAGATGGACCCGCTCCAGGCGATGCAAGGGGGTGAAGAGATCATGCGGCAAGGACATCAAGTTATTGTGAGAGAGGTTGAGCTCCTCCAAGGACTTGAGGTCGTCGAAGGCATTGCGTTCGATGGTGGCCACCTGAGCGTGCATCAACCACAGCTTGCGCAGGCTGGTCAGCCCTTGGAAAGAACCGGGCCTGATCATGTCCAGGCGGTTCCCAGATAGCTCCAGTTCCTCCAGCCTCACTAAGGCCGTCAAGTTCGGGATGTCTTTGAGGTTGCACATGCCCAGGTTCAGGTAGCGCAAGTTGACCAAGCCTTCAAAGGCTGCCTCGGAGATGTACTCCAGCTTCTTGAGTTCCCCGAGGTCCAGGCGGCGCAGGGAAGGGACTCGGTTGAAGGCATATGAAGGGATGCTCTCGATGGGGTTGTTCCTCAGCCACAGCTCCCTCAACTTGGAGAGGTACTCAAAGGCCTGAGTGGGAACGGTGGTCAGCCGGTTGTCGAAGAGCTCCAGCGTGTTGAGGTTGGGCAACCCATTGAAGGCCCCGACCTCGATCTTACGGATCAGGTTCTTGCTGAGCTGCAAGATCTCGAGATGACGAAGGTGCTTGAAAGTGTCAGTCTTTATAACCTGGATGTTGTTCTCCTGCAGGTTGAGGTACCGCGTGTTGATCGAGATGCTCTCGGGGACCTCCACCAACTCCCGGCGCGTACAGATGACCCGGCTGGCTTGGTTGCTGCAGGAGCAGGCGGCCGGGCAAGAGGTGGGGGAGGCGCCGCCCCAGACGAGCGACGGCAGCCAGAGGAAAAAGAGGACCAGATGCTTCCAGACCATCCTAGAGACTCCGGGTGCCAGCAAAGGCTTCCGAGTGCAGCGGCGGGTGGCCATGCCCAAAGGTCATGCTTCGGTGACCAGCAGGGTGCGGGCTCCGGTTTTTAGAAACTGGGGATGACAAAGACAGAAAGAGAGAGGGAGAAATAAGACACAATCTGGTATCGGGTCTCAGAAACATGGCAACAATCGGAGGCTCTACGGCAGGGGTCCCCAACACGGTGCCCGTGATGCCCACTGATACTGTGCCTGGTGTCCTGCCAAGGGTTTTGGAAAGCGGGCAAGGCCAGATGGGGCTTTTGGCCAGCAGGGCTTCTGAATGGCCATGGGAGGGGAAGGGGAGGGGAAATGAATGGCCATGGGAGATTTGATTGGCAGTGCAGATTTAAAACAAAAACAAAACATTGTTTGGCAGGAGCTGCCCCCACTGCACAAGTATACACAGTCTGCGTGACTGAAGTTGAGCCGAGGAAGCCATTTTGTGGCTGGCTAAGCCTCCTGGGGTGGCCGATACGTGCCTGCTCTGTTGTGACAGACTTCCAAAGGTGCCCGCTGACTCAAAAAAGGTAGAGGACCCCTCCTCTAGGCCTTAGAGTCACCCAAATGGAAGTCATTTGCCGCCGGTTCAAGACAAAGGGTTGGATCCAGCCAGTTTTTCCACTGTTACAGAAAGGGAGGAGGGAGCACTTCTAGTCACACACATACACCCCATAAAAGATATGCTGGGGATCATAAACATGTATATGTTTAATTTCTTTGTCACTATAAAAACAATAAAAATGTTTTAAAAAGACAAAGCCCCACATGGGATGGGTTCTGTAATAAACAGGGGAAAGTGAGCAAGGGTTAGTGCGAAGCTGGCTGAATCCAACCCAAAGATGATCTTCCATCTATGCCAGGGGTGTCGAACTCATTTGTTATGAGGGCCGGATCTGACATAAATGAGACCTTGTTGGGCCGGGCCTTTTGTGCCATAAAATGTAATGCCAGGTAGTGGAGATATAAACTTTATAAAGGACACAAACACAAAGGTGTTTTTTTTTACTTAAAATAAAAACATGCTTAAAATATCAGCATTCTTGCAATGTTTTTGTTTATTTAACTGTGTCTGATAACTGACACCTCTTGCTCTGAATTATTGCATCAAAATGTCTGTGCTGTTGCAATCCCGAGTATGCTGTTCAGGTGTGTATCTGTAAGCTGCTAACCTACGATGACGCAGCAGCAACAGAACTGGAAGAAGAAGCAGAAGACAGCCAGTTCCACTGTGGACCTGAGAGAAGACCCTCCGGGGGCCTGATCCAGCCCCCGGGCCACATGTTTGACACCCCTGATCTATGCCATTCATCACTACAAGAGGGGGTTACTAGATGGCTTTTAAAAATGAAAATGAAAATAAGACATTCCTTAGCTATGACAGATAAACAGAACATGATTGGCTCAGAGGCACTATCCCTGATGCAACAGATGAAGTACACCACTCATGTGTCCTCAAGGCCAATGCTGCTGTTGTGCTCATAATGCTAGACACTTGGTGTGGCCCAGCAAGGGAAGACTTGCCTTCTCGTATTACCAACCAGTCGCTTGGCTTCCTGGGGCCTCTCCGGGATGCACACTCAGCCATGGGGTCTAGTACGTGCTTTCTAATTGATCGATACTTCTAAGAGGGTAGTGCTCTGATAAAGCTACTTTCCCCATATGAGCCAAGAAGGCATGTGAAAACATGCTCTGTACCCGCCCAACACTGTGCCTTGTCAGGATCTGTCTAGTAGATGCAGTGGGCTCAGAGCAGCATATGTGGTTCTCCCTACCCCCTTTTTATCCTCACAACAATCCTTAAAACAAAGTTTGAGTCCAATGGAACCTTTAAGTAGGGTTGCCATCCCCCCAGTCGCGGTGGGGGTTCACCCGAATTTGGGGCCCCCAATCCACTGCTGGCCAGCTGGCTGGTGGGGAAAGCACCACGCCAAAAAGCCCCCTCCTGTGGCACCGGCATAATGACATTGTACAACACTCAGGACAATGGAACCCCAGGGCTTAACAGAGATACTGTCTTCTTATTTCACTTATCGCACTATACATGCTCAGTCACTCAGTTCTCACTTATACCCAGAAATTAAACTTTGTTGGTCTTAAAGGTGCCACTGGACTCAAACCTTTCTCATATCTGTTGTTAACCCCCTTATTATCTGTATGCCAATTTGCTGCTCTTTACATGTCTTAACAAATGTGTTATTCTGATCTTAGCTGTATTTTTTTTTGCTCAGTTACTTATGCATCTTGACTCTAATTAGCTCTTCCTGGCACCTAACCCCCCCTACCTGTATGTAACACTTGAGGAAATCTGTTTCTATATATTTGAAGAAGTGTGCATCTACACATGTAGAGTCTCTCTGTTCTCACATGTACCCAGGGTTGAGCTTGCTTGGTCTTGGGGGTGCCGCTGGACTCAGGCTTCCTTCTCAGATCTGTTTGTTAGCTCCCGCATTTGTGTGCTGATTTGCTGCCATTCATTGATCTTGCCGCCTTGATCCAATCTCAGCTTCATTTACGCATCTGAACTCTGACTGGTCCTCCCTGACGCTTCCACACACACACACACCACCTACCTGTATGTAAGGCTTGAAGAACTTTTGTTTCAATTTGTCTGAGGAAGTGTGCTTGCACACGAAAGCTTACCCCTTAAATAAAACTTCGTTGATCTTAAAGTTGCCATTGGACTCAAACTGTGTTCTGCTGCTTCAGACCAACATGGCTAGCCACCTGAAACAATCCTGTAAGGTAGCCTAGACCTGAAAGAGAGTGATTGGCCCAAGGGTGCCCAACAAGCAGAGGTCGATTCGGGGGGATCGCAGTTCCCCCGGGTGAGGTGCAAGGGGCGGGGCACACGACGAAGCCCCGCCCCCTGCTTCCGGCCGCCCTGCTTCCGGCCCTCATTCAGCCAGGAGGAGGCAGGAGAAGAGGGAGGGTAAGTTGCTTCCTCCCCGCCTCTCCCCACCCCTGCCTGCCTGGGCCAGGGAGGGCCTTGGCGGGGCTTCCTCGCACTCCCGTCGGCCTTGCAGGTCCACCGCCGGGCCCCTGATGTCAGGGTGTGTGGCATATGCTAATGAGTTATGCTAATGAATTCCCCTAGCTCTTTTTCTACGAAACGACCCCTGCCAGCAAGCATTGGAACTCAGGGCTTCCAGGTTCTATTCCAGTTCTCTAACCACTCTACAATACTGCCCCAGTTAATATCAGTACTGATGGCCAGTTGTTATCAAAGAGGCTTGTCCATTGTGGCTGATACTCCCCTGGAAGATTTCTGGAAGTATAATGTGAAATCTGTTGGTCTGTGGCCTGGCCTACACATTCATCCAACCAAGGTAGTTGAACTCCACTGCTTCCGACTCCACTGCTTCCGAACATGTGGAATGCAGGCGGGGAAGCTGCATTTTTAGAACGCTCTCTGACGTTCTAAAAAAGAAACCTTCCAGCAAGCCGAAGACTCATCAGGGAAACCTTTTCCCTGCTGTGTGGCTTTTCTATTTGCATGCACGGAAAGGTGAACTTCAGTATTTCATGACCCTGTTTCTCCTTCATTCTGACGCATATGTAGACCAGGCCTTAGTCACGGGAGGCGACTAGGACCTGGCTTACAGTATCATCCCACTGGGGTACCCTATTTACCATCAGGCTGCTCCAGAAAGCGTGATTCGGGGATGTCCTTACATGACTTGGCCACGTGGTACAGTCCTGATATTACCCATGGGCAATGGAGGCATCCCGAGAAGGAGCAGCCATATTAGATCGGACCAAGTCTGGCACCCACTTTCCAGTCGTGTCCAGACAGAGACCGTGGAGGAGCCCAGAAGCTGGACGATAGCCCTCCCCTGACCATCCCCCCGCCAGCATCTGACATGCAAGCACTCTGCCTTGAAGCCCGAGGTCTGTTCAGCTCCCATGCAGTGTTCCCTCTAAGCTGAGTTGGTGTGAGCTAGCTCACAGTTTTTTAGCTTCCAGCTCACACATTTTTGTCTTAGCTCAGGAAGGAGGGCTCCAGAGCAAACTGATTTATGCAGCAGCCAAATTGCTCGCTCACAACTTTAGTGCCGGTAGCTCACAGAGTAGAATTTTTGCTCACAAGACTCAACAGATTAGAGGGAACATTGCGAGTCCCATGCCTAGGAGTCAACGGCAGACTCACAAATCCGTCCGGTCCCCACCTCAGAAATCCACCTAAGCCAGTGGCCATCCCAACGTCTTGTGGCGGCAATTTTTTTTTTTTTTCAAACTTCTATCCCACCCTCCCCACAAGTGGGCTCAGGGCGGATCACAGGGCCACACCAGTAAACAGATTAAAACCATTAAGAGCAATCATTTAAAACAGATTGCACTGTCTGTTTGCTTGGCAATCTCCGGAACTGGTGCCGCTGGGTCTCTACGGTCTGCCCGGGTCATTTCGTAGAAAAAGAGGTGCAGGAGCTCATTAGCGTAACTCATTAGCATAACTCATTTGCATATGCCACACCCCCTGACATCACCGGAAGTGTGTCAGAAGGCAACACCCACCGCTCAGGCTCCACTGGACTGTTTTGGATTGCTAGCTATTGGGGGGGGGGGAGCTTGTATATATGGCATCTCATATATCCACAATGGCTAGGATTTTTGGCCTAGGTGGCCGAACTCTCTCTGGCCAAACTGCCTCAAGGCTGGTGCGTAGGGTCGGCAACTTGTAAAATAGGTCTCTCTTCCTGTCTTTTTAATATAGGTCAGTTTGATGTGCAGCAATTATCAGTTGATGTTATTGGCTCTCCTGCCCTTTTGCACTCACTAAATCTCTATTAAAGGGACAGGACGTTCCCCCCCCCCCCTCTAGCCAGTGGGCAACCTTGCTGGCAGGCCACCAGCCATGATGTTATCAGAGAAGGACAGCAAGGTGCAGAACAAGAGAGCGCACCTGTCCTTTGGGGTGTGAAATGAAAGCATACCCTCAGAGACCTCTATCTCACTGTGGCATTGGGGCTTGCACATATTCAAACCAGTACATGGCACATCTAGGACTATGCCACTTCCAA